TTGTCAATAAGGTGAAAGCAAAGAGTCTAATTTTTGGGCTCCCATCTTTTAACAAAGGGTGGAATCCGAAGTTCTTTTTTGTTCAAGGCAATTCCTAGGAGTTGTCTGGAGCACCTAGTGGCATTCCTTGTATTCCTAAGCCCTACGGAATCCCAAGGAATCCTCATAAGGGCAATATCTAGCTATGCATCATTTTTGTGTGTATGTCTTCTAGTAGTGATTTTCCCTTTTGGGGTTGCAATATTGACTTTTAGTTTGGTTTACAAGCTTCTGTTCGATTCTCGACGTTGTAGAGGTTGGTAACGTGGCCTTGGCAGAGGCTTTTGGTCTCAAGTTTTTTTTTTGATTTGGTAACTAAGGAGAATCTTGCGAAGCACAAGCTCGGACCCCTAGTGGAAAAGCAACCTGCCTACGTCACAAAACTATTGCATGAAGACTCCCTTGACCAAATGGACCCTGAACTCATCATGGCGACATTTATTGACGAGAAGACGAGGAAGCTAGTAAAGACTTCTAAGCTTCCCCCCCCCCCCCAAGGGAAGGGTTGATGCTAGCAAGCTCCTCCTTAGAGCAGAAACATGAGGATTTAGCTTCTCTTGAGGTGATGTTTCCTCTTTCCTACCTTCCGAGCTGTCCAAGAGCAAATCCTTGTCCAAAAGGGTCAAACCCTCAGAGGCGGTTCTTGCTCCTCCCTAACCAATGTTGCAGAGGCTGGTAGGGTGGCCTTGGAGGAGGTTTTTTGTCTCAAGTTTTTTTTCGATTTGGTGACCGATGATAATCTTGCAAAACACAAGCTCGAACCCCCGGTGAAAGCGCAACCTACCTACATCTCAAAATTATTGCCTAAAGACTCCCCTGACCAAGTGAACCCTACACTCATTATGGCGACCTTTACTGATGAGAAGACACGGAAGAGGAGGAAGCTGGTAAAGACTTCTAAGCTTCCCCCGAAGGATGGGTTGATGCTGGCAAGCTCCTCCTTAGCGCAGAAGCGTGAGGATTTAGCTTCTCTTGAGGGTGATGTCTCCTCTTCCCTGCCTTCCAAGCTGTCCAAGAAAACCCCAGTCCAAAAGGGTCAAACCCTCAGAGGCGGTTCCTGCTCCTCCCCAACCAAATTTGACAAAGGAAACAAAAAGGGAAGGGGAAACCTAGTCCTCCCCAATTGATTGCCCAAGGGAGTGGGTTCCTTCATGGTCCCAAGGCTGTTGTGGAAGCCCTAGTTGAACTGGTCTCAACTTTGGACCCTAAGATGGACATGCATGTCAGTTTTAAGAGGAAGAACAAGCACGTCATCTAGGGCATGGTTGAGGTACTATACACTTTCACCTTCCTTACTGGATTATTCTTTTTTGGATCCCTTTGCCTCCAGTTGTATTAATTGTGTCTTTTTTTTCATTCCCTGGCATGTGAAGATGATTAAGTTCCATCACAATTGGCTCGAGACTCAACTAGTTGCAAAAGAGTGCAATTTGAAGAGTGCACTAGACACCAGTGATGCTACCGAGGCTGGGAAAGCATTAGCGAAGGGGAAGGTTGTTGTCTTGGCTGCTGAGGTGGCCAAGCTAAAGAGAATCCAGGATGAATTGAACACTCGCTATCAGAATTTCGCAAAGCTAAAAGGCACCAAGCTGAAGGCCAAGGATAAGGAGCTGAGCTTCCCGAAAGAGAGGGTTGCTAAGCTCCGTAAGGTGAATGCTTCTACCTTTGTGAAGGAGTTTATGAATTTTCCAGATCAAGCTGATAATGCATTTTCCAATCTTGACCTGGACTCTTTCATGCCCCAAATCAAGACGCCAAAACCTATGGGTATAGTTGAGGGAGCCACTACCAAGCCTGTTAATGCTGGCGAGGGGGCCTCTATTTAGTCTCTGAATACTAACAAGGAGGCCACTACCGAGCCTGCTAATGGTGGAGAGGCTACTACCTGAACTTGGTCCTTAACTGTCGTTGTCCTTCCTTCTTTGTACTGAACTTTTTATAGCAACAGAATTAATTTTGGGCGCTATAGTTTCTTTATGTATTCTGCTTGTCTTTTCAATGGAAGGTTTTGCATGTCTTATTGCTGATGGTTCTTTCTGTCCTTTTACCGCCTCTCTCTTATTTTCTTTTTTTTTCTTGGTGGGTGATATAGCTTACCTTATGCTACACTCAACCTGGCTCGTTGTTATGGTAGTGCTTCGTGTTGCAGTCAAGTCAAACAACTCTATTGGAGACTGTCTAAACCTTTGTACAGTCTAAGCTACCCCTTTCATGAGATGTTTTAATTTGCTAGGGCTATGTTGGACTTTTTTCACTTCTTTTCATGTATCCCAAGTTTGGTGAATTTGTTTAGTTGAGAAAGTGTATTGACGGTTGATTAACCCTAAATATTGTATTAATTAAATATGTTATTAAGTTGATTATGTGTGTGAATTAGGTTAAAAAAACTAAGTTACAATGAATTAGGTTTAATGCGAAAGTTTTACATTTTACAGGGTTTTGTGTGTAAATGTCAGAAATAAGAAGGGTTAAAGTGTGCAAGCTAAAAAAGCAAGGGGAGACAAGCGTAATTATACCAAGAATACACCAAAGCCAGGAGGCAAATCACTATCAAAATCCAGAGGTTTAGCACAGTCCGAATGGTGGTGGCAGCATCTAAATGGTGGCTAAACCGCCTCAACTCCATCTTCTTCTCCCATTGGTCCAAAAATGCAGTAAAGCACCTGATTGGCTTGCCTATGTTATACCGCCTCAAGCCAGCCTCTAATGCCTATAAATAGGGTTGTCCAGCTTTAGTTTTAGAGAGATTCGCCAGAGAGACAATCCAAACAGTGAGGAAGAGAGGAAGAGAGAAAAAGAGCAGCGAGGCCCTGCCAAACCTACTTTCCAAACATAATCTCTACTTCTACATTTCCTTTTATCCTTTATACTTGGAGAGTTGAACCTCTCTCACTTTGATGCCCTAATTGGTAGTAAGAGTGGCAGTGTGTCAACTATTCCTAGGGAAAGGATTTGTGTTGTATTGTGTTTTATGTGTAATGGAACTATATTTCACCTCTTGCTTGTCTATAGCAATGATGTGTGAGTAGTCCGCTTATACTCTTTGGTGAACGGTGAACACATGTAAATTATTGTTCGAGTTATGAAAATGCTAATGTTCTATTTAAGCTTTAATGTTTATACCTCCCTTAATTGATAGATGGTTACATTCATAATATGCTCATGGTTATGAACTTCGAGCAGTACTTAATGCTATATACCATACTATCTATATTTATTATGTACTTCATGCATGATACATTGATGTATGTAGTTGGGCTTTATTTAACAGTTGGGAGATTGGTTATAGATGGGTGAAGTCTCGTCATAGCCAATGTTTTTGATTCAATGCATAAACTAGAATGCCATCATCACTGAATCATCAACCAACTAGTTGAATAACTCTAGTACTCCTCCTGAATGGCTTGCCTTCTGGTTTATTAGGGTTATCTGACTGATGCATGGTATAGAAACCTTTCGGCTAACCTAATCAGTTGTTGTGTTATGGTTCAATATACATCAAACCCACCGGTTGACTTCTAGTCAAATGAGAGTTAATTGTTGTAATGTGACATTTCCAGTACTCAAACAATATAATGCATGTGGGATCCTCGAACTAAAGAATACCCTTTTATTATTGTATTTCAACCTTTTTATTTACGCATTTCTTTGATAGTTCTAAACTCAAACCACAAGTTATTCCATTCTATACTACATTCACGACAATTTCACTGTTTTTGTTTAGAATCCCAGCAATTAGCTCTTTGTGGGATCAACCTTGGACTGAAACCAAAAAATACTACAATTTAACCAACTTATACTTGGGTGTATGACATAAATCAGGTCAGATCAGCGATGGTGTGATTGTTTTCCCAAAAGTAACGCCCATTTTCTCCACGTTTGACACCTGGCTGGTGCATTGAATGTGAGGGACACACATTAATTATGCCTTGTTGAAGTGATGCACACTGCCTATGACTCTCATAAATAGACCCCCTTAGTCTACAGACTCCTTACCTTTGCATTTGAGTGTTTTTCCCCCCTTGCTCGCTACTTCCAATTTCTAGTTCTTCTCCTTCAACTTCCTCTCATTTTCACCATGTTGCGAACGCCTACTTCCTACCATGATACCCAGTAGCAAATTTTTCTTGACGTCAAGACCAAGAGATTGATACCGAGGGGGCCCAAGCATTGTCTAGCCACTGCGCCTATACTAGCTATCCCTACCAATGAAATTTGGAGAGTTAGGTTTGTTTCTTTGAGGCCCCTTTCTAGCTGGGCCTTAGGTTTTCTCTTCCCCCTTTCGTGAGGGAGATTCTGTATTTCTTTAGTTTTTTTCCTGTTATGCTGCTTCCAGCAATGTGGGCAGTTTTGCTGGCATTTCCTGTGCTATGGGAGTGATTGTTCTCTCACCCTCGTGCCACCTTAGCGGAGTTTCTAAACTTCTTTCATCTGGTAAACGTATGCGAATTCTATTTCTTTGCTCTGAGAAGGGGAGGAGAAACTCCCATCTCCAATCTTCCTCCCGAGCTAGAGGGTTAAAGGAAGAGGTACTTCTTCATGTGTGGGACAGGTTGGGAACTTACACCTTAGACGATCTGATTGATTCGAGTTCCCACAGTCTGGGGGGACATGCCTATGTTGGTGAGTTCCCCTACCTCAGTGAGTTTTCTTCTCCTAGTCTGCTCATCCCATGCATGCAGGGTTTTGACTTAATCCCGTTGCTTTGTCTTTACGTTTTGTAGGTAAATACTCGAGCTTGCCTAGGGAGTCGCAATCTCGTGTCAATCAAATTCGAGCACGACTACCTTTTTCTTATTTCGAGCTGATGCACCCTAACCTAGGTGATGTCTTGGGCCATAAGCACCTGATACCTTTATAGAGTTATGTTTGTCTTTCCTTGGCACGCCTTTCTGATGTTTCCTTCGATTGTCTTACCTTTTCAATTCCCACATATCTAGTCAGTGAAAAGGGACATAATCATGGAGCAAGTGGCTCAGAGAAGACTAACACGAGCTCTTGCTCCTCCCGCAAAGAGGGCGAGGATCTTCGAGGATAGCCCAGCGCCAAGCTCCCCGATTGTCCCAATGCCAATTTCTCCAATTGTGCACTCTCTGAGTTCTCCAATTTTCCATGAGCCAAGTTCTTTTGCTACGACCATGGGTCTACCCAGTGTTGATGAAGCAACGGTTGGAGTGGTGTCCATTAATCCCGAGACAAGACCCGTTTGGCACAGGTCTCCTCATAGAGGTGTGGAAAGGAAGCTCAAGGCGCCCTGATCCAACTATGACTAGTACCTTGAGGTGAGCCTTTTAGATAAAGTGTTCATTGTTCACAGGACTTTCATAGAGCTAATTCCCTAGGTCGATCTCTATCATTCTATTAGTTAATCTTTATGATCTAGGACCTAAGATGCCTTGCTTGCAATCCTCAAGGTGAGATTATATAGCCATCCTTTCTTCTATCTCAATTGCATGACAGCTTACCTGCTTATCTTGTCCTCAAGTCATGACACATGTCTTTACGCTCAATGGGGAGATCCATCACTTGATGATGGAAGGTCACAAAAGAGATGCCAAGTTCACTAAGCTCCTGTATTGGGGCCTAGAGCTGGAAAGAGAATTGGAGATGACTTTTCAGTAGAGGGCCCAGATTTTTCGGTAGTGGATTGTTGTTACCACATTGGAGATCTCTTAACGAGAAAAGCTCAGTGATCAATCAAGTGGTGGAATCTGATGCTACCACAACCGACCTGGAGGACTCTCTGAGTTGGAAGCGGCAGCTAGTCGAGAAGTAGAGGAAGGAGATCAAGAAGACCAAGATGGAAGCTGCCACATCTTTTGTGGATGGGTTTTTCAACTTCAAAGACAAGGTGCTTGAGAAATACCTTGACCTTGGCCTTGATCACTTCGAGCCTCGATTCCAGCCTCCTTCTGGTGGTCCCTCTAGTGGGGGTGACTGTTTTAAGTTTCAGGGAGAAAAATACTCAAAAATATAACATTAGAATCCCAATTTGAAAATCCTATTCTTAAAAATATAACATTTAAAAAACCTACAATGGTGAAAATCCCAACGATGTGTACGTGTGTGGTGGGGGGTTCAATAGTGTATTTTATGAAAGTATTATCAATTAACACACAATCTTATAAACCTATTTCATAACTTAAAAAAAATGAAGAATTTGTGAATAACCCTAGCCCTAAGAAATGAATCTCAAACCTATTTCATACTAATTGGCACACAATCTCTAAAATGATGGAAATAAAATATAGTGACACACAATCTTAATGTAAATAACCCTAACATTCATCAAATAAAGACACTATAAACCTATTTCATAATTAAAAGAAAAATCAAATTAAAATTTCACAATCTATATTCAACATCCAAATTAAAAACACAATTTGAAAATAAATTAGCATACAAAATGAACACTCAATAATAATCAACTCAACATCCATTCCATCCATCCTAACATTCATAATAAAAAAAAAACCCTATTTCATCATAACTTTTTTTTATTTCATCATAACTATAAACCTATTTCATAATAAAACAAAACAAATTGAAAACGCCCAAATGAAATTTTATAATAAACATATTTCATCATAACTATAAACCTATTTCATAATAAAAAAAATAATTTGAAAACACCAAAATTAAAAACACTCAAATTAAACACCTAAATTAAAAACAACCAAATCAAGCACACAAACATTCAAAAACCCAAATTAAGTGTGCATTGTGTGTGTGTGTTTTATGTTTGTGTGTGCTGCTAGGTTCATGTGTGTGTGTGTGTGTGTGTGTTTGCATTATCTCTATGTGTGTCTTGTGTGTGTTTTTGTGTGTGTGTTTTTGCGTAAGTTGTTATGTGTGTGCGCATGAATTGTTTTGTGAGTGTGTGTCATGAGAGAGAGAGAGAGGTGCACCTAAGCTATGTGAGAGGGACCATGGTAGAGAGGGAGCCAAGGAGGAGGGTTGCGTTACTGGTTTAGCCATAGCATATGAGTGAGCGAGCGAGAGAGAGGGGGCAGAGAGAGAGGTGTGCACCTGGATTAACTAGAGGGTAGGATTTGGTATTTGTATGGGATGTATTGTGAGGCTTTGGAGTAAGTTGGAAGAATTGGGATGAAATCTATGTCATTCTTGTGCTTTCCCAAATGAATTAAAATTGGATTAAATTTTGAAGTAAAAATGGATTTAAAATTGCCTCTATCTTATTAATATAGATTTCATAATTTAAAAAATGGAAGATTTTGTGAATAATCCTAACCTAACAAATGAATCTCAAATTAATCAAGACCCTATAAAAACCTATTTCATACTAATTGGCATACAATCTCTAACAGGATGGAAGTAAAATAAAGTAACACACAATCTTAATGTAAATCATCCTATTCATCAAATCAAGACACTATAAACCTATTTCATAATTAAAAGAAAAATCAAATTAAAATTTCACAAACTACATTCAACACCCAAATTAACAATCAAATTTAAAAATAAATTAACAATTGAATTTAAAAATAAATTAACCTACAAAATGAACGCTCAATCGGAACATTCATAATTAAAAAAAAAACCCTATTTCATAAAATAAAAAACAAACAAATTGAAATTTCATAACAAACCCACTCATCATAACCATAAACCTATTTCATAATAAAACAAAGAAAATGGAAAACACCCAAATTAAACACCCAAATTAAAAACACCCAAATCAAACACACAAACATTCAAAAGCCAAAATTAAGTTGTTGCTTGTGTGTGTGCGCTATGTATATGTTACTCTATGTGTGTGTGATGTTGTGTGTGTGTTTTGTGTTTGTGTGTATGTGCATTATCTATGCGTGCATGTGTATTTATGGGTGTGTGTGTGCATGTGTTTGCATGAGCTTTGTGTGTCTGTGTGTGTGTCTGTGTGTTTGCGATTATGTGTGTCGTGAGAGAGAGAAAGACATAGAGAGAGGGGTGTACCAAAGCTATATGAGAAGAACCCTGGTAAAGAGAGAGAGCCGAGGAGGAGGTTGTACTGATGGTTTAGCCATGGCAGAAGGGCAAAAGAGAGAGAGAGAGTGTGTGTGTGTGTGAACGAGAGAGAGAAAGGTGTGCTGCCGCTTTAAATGGCATGTGTGGGTTATGTGTTATGTAGTCGGGGTGGCGTGTGTGTGGAGTTAAAATGGGCGGGATTTGGTACTTGTATGTGATGCATTGTGAGCCTTTGGATGAAGTTGGAAGAATTGAGATGAAATTGGGGCCATCCTTGTGGTTTCCCAAAAGATTTAAAATTGGATTAAATTTTGAAGTAAAAATGGATTCAAAATAGCCTCAATCTTATTAGTTTAGATTTCATAATTTTAAAAAATGAAGAGTTTCTAAATAACCCTAACCGTAACAAATGAATCTCAGATTAATTGGGACCCTATAAAAACCTATTTTAGAATAAAACTATTTCATAATTAAAATAAAAATCACATTAAAATTTCACAAACTCTATTCAACACCCAAATTAAAAATCCAATTTGAAAATAAATTAGCCTAGAAAATGAATACTCAATAATAATCAACTCAACATCCATTCCATTCATCCTTAAATTCGTAATATAAAAAAAAATATTTCATAATATAAAAAAAACAAATTGAAATTTCATAGCAAACCTATTTCATCATAACTATAAACTTATTTCAAATTTAAAAAAAATAAATTGAAAACACCCAAATGAAATTTCATAATAAACCTATTTCATCATAACTATAAACCTATTTCATAATAAAAATAAATAAATTGAAAAAACCAAAATTAAACACCCAAATCAAACAAACAAACATTCAAAAACCCAAATTAAGTTATTGTTTGTGTGTGTGCTGCGCATGTGTGTTGCTCCCTATGTGTGTGTATGTGTGTTGTAGTGTGTGTGTGTGTGTGTGTGTGTGTTTTGTGTTTGTGTGTGTGTGTGCATTATCTGCATGTGTGTGCATGTGTGTTGCTGGATTCGTGTGTGTGTGTGTGTGTTTTTGCATTATCTGTGTATTTGTGTGTGTGTTTGTGTGAGCTCTCTGTGTCCATGTGTCGTGAGAGAGACAGAGGAAGAGAGAGAGAGAGAGAGAGAGGTAGAGAAAGAGAGAGGTGTCCCTAGGCTATGTGAGAGGAATTATGGCATAGAGAAGGAGCCAAGGAGGAAGGTTGTATTACAGGTTTAGCCATGGAAGATAAGCGAGAGAGAGAAAGAGAGAGAGGGGTGCTATTGGTTTAATGGGCATGTGTAGGTTGTGAGTTATGCAATCAGGGTGGCATGTGTGTGGGGATAAAATGAGCGGGATTTGGTATTTGTATGGGATGCATTGTGAGCATTCGGATTAATTTGGAAGAATTGAGATGAAATTTGGGTCATCCTTGTGCTTTCCCAAATGAATTAAAATTGGATTAAATTTTAAAGTTAAAATAGATTCAGTATTGCCTCTATCTTATTTTAGTATAGATTTCATAATTTTAAAAAATGAAGAGTTTGTGAATAACCCTAACCCTGACAAATAAATCTCAAATTAATCAAGACCCTATAAAAACCTATTTCATACTAATTGGCACAAAATCTCTAAAATGATGGAAGTAAAATAAAGTAACACACAATCTTAATGTAAATAACACTAACATTCATCAAATCAATACACTATAAAACTATTTCATAATTAAAAGAAAAATCACACTAAAATTTCACAAACTATATTCAACACCCAAATTAAAAATCCAATATGAAAATAAATTAGCCTAGAAAATGAATACATAATAATAATCAACTCAACATCCATTCCATCCATTCTTACATTCGTAATTAACAAAAAAAACTATTTCATAATATAAAAAAAAAAACAAATTGAAATTTCATAACAAACCTATTTCATCATAACTATAAACTTATTTCATAATAAAAATAAACAAATTGAAAACACCCAAATGAAATGTTATAATAAATCTATTTCATCATAACTATATACCTATTTTATAATAAAAATAAATAAATTGAAAACACCCAAAATTAAAGACCAAAATTAAAAACACCCAAATTAAACACCCAAATCAGACACACAAACATTCAAAAACCCAAATTAAGTTATTGTTTGTGTGTGTGTGTGTGTGCTGCGCATGTGTGTTGTTCTCTATGTGTGTGTATGTGTGTTTGTGTTTGTGTGTTGTAGTGTGTGTGTGTATGTGCATTTTCTACATGTGTGTGTCTGTGTTGTTGGATTCGTAT